GTTTACTATTGAGAGTGGAATATGTACAGCTCATCATTGCTTCCTTACCTTAATTTGCACTTCTCGGAAAAGCTATAGCTATGTTATAAAAGTGGGTAGGGTTGCAGCCGGCAATTTTTCTTGTCTTCGTTATCATAAAGCATGGTGTCCTGCTCTGACGAAGTCCGTCACATGACGGACAAAAGCTCAGCAAGGATTCATCAGAGTCGCAGGGTGGTGCGCTGAGGAGCTAATCGCACAAATCTACAGTCACAGCTTCAAAGCAATCCCTCTACGGCTTCTGGTGAGGCCAACTTACAAATCCATTCCACTTGCTTCTTCAAACGAAACGGGAAGTACTGCAGCACCAATATATTAAGGGATTCTTTGAAAACCAGTTTTTCTACAAAACACACCTTTGTACCATCAACATTTTGACTATGAATGTGAGCTAGGAAAGTTCTGGCCTGAGACCCAAGGGCACTTGTAAGAGTGTGATCTGGTGGTACGCTGCACTACACGTGTTCGAATCACATTGGAGGTGCAGATGAGACCTAGGCGATGTTGAAGCTGCAGTACATCCTTGATGAGAATAACTTTTTGGTATGTGAATTTCAATGGAAACGTAAGGTCTACGCATATTATTGTGGGAAAGTTCAACTAGACGTCTATCATCACCTAATGGCGCCTACGGTGACTGAAACACTAATGCATCTTTTGTGTCGGGTATCATTACTAAAAACTTTAAGCTAACCAAAACTAGGTCAGCATTACAAACGAGCTCATAAGAACAAAAAATAGAATTGAATAAGAGATATAGAATTGTTTAGTTGATTCCTCTTCATTTCAATCTAATCATTCGCATTTGACCCCATTTGCGCAAATTAGTCGTTTGTCAGGGAATTCTGGATGAACACGCCATATCCGGATTCCTCTGCCATATTTGTCATGATAACTTTCAGTATCGGACAGACAACTTGGTACATTCGAATGGCAAAACGTCTCCAAACAAGATGCTCTCCTGTCGCTCCACCCTGGCAACATGACCAAATTGTGTAAATCTAGACGACGATAGGATACCGTGAACAACTTACAGACAACACCATCTTGGTCTTTATACCTTCGATTAAATACTCATTGTGTCTGGGCTCGCGTGTAAGAGCATAAGTCGGGGATACGTAACCAACAGTCATAACTCTGAGACACCAAAATTTAATGACCCAAGGAAATGGTGAATTGCCATTGCATAATCCCATAGAAGTTATTGACGGGATGCACCAAATAGTTAGAAGCAAATCAAGGCTGAATGAAAGCCATTATCAGTTTTGAGAATCGCAGATTTTGATTGACAATTTATGACAAGCTATCGATAAAATGCCAAAGCGGGTTCCTGATGGGACAATAAAATGTGAGATTTTTTAATAATTTCGAACGATTTGGTATCTAGGGTAATAAGTTGCAGAAGAAATTCTAAAATAAAAGCCAAGGCTAAAGTTGATTTATTCAATAAATCTCTAGGAAATGGCGAAAAGCTTCTATTTTGCTCTTCCGGGTGAAAAAAACCATTCTCTTGATAGTCTGATTTATTTACTTATATTGCCAGATAGCTTGCCCGAAGAGGTTAATGCAGAGCTTACATACACATACTCACACTTAAACACATGAGTATTTAATCGAAGGTATAAAGAATAAGATTGTGTTGTCTCTTGGTTGGTTGCGGTCTTCTTTTGCTGTCTAGAGGTGGTTTGACCTCATGTTCAATACTTAACCATTTTGTCAAGGCAGCCGAGATGAAAGCGCCTTCTCCAGAATCGTTTCGTCGTGTGAATATACCAAGCTTACTGTCCTACGCTTGAAATTATCATGACAACTATGACAGAGGACTCCAGACATGGCCTTCCTGACAGACGAACATTTTGTAAAAATGAGGTCAACCCACTTTTAAATGAGTATTTAGATTTAAATGAAGGGAAACTAAGTAAAACAAGTATATACCTCTTTTATGCAGGTATACGTGTTGTTGTTGTGGGTTGTTGAGAAGTTCAGTTAGAAGAAAAAGACCCTATTCCAACGATATATTTTGAGTGGTGTAGCACATCCCGTTGCCACCGGAAACTAGAAGCTTGAAGGAGGAATGAGCAACAGAAATCGACCGCATGCCTTGACTGGTCAGACTGGTCGTCACGCCGGATACATCACGAGTTTGTTGGGACTCATTTGAAGGCTTAGAAAGAGTCGACAAGGCAGACAAGCTGGAAGGATTGGCTGAGGGCAACCTACGGATTGACCGTCGGACCAGACTCACTAACATGAGCAGGCCTCCAGCCCCTCAAAGTTCCGAGTCTCGGGGTTCGAGTCTTCGTCTGGCACGAGAGGTAAAAAAAGCGCGGAATCGAACCGGAGGCCGATGCGATGAGGCAGTCCGCTGGAGCGAACTGACCCGCTTGCTGGAGCCAGGCCTACTCAGGGCCGAGTTGAGGCCTTGAACAGCCAATAAACAGCCACGGAAGGGAATCACGTCTGGAAACCAGACCAAACGCCGACAGGCCTTCACTTACGAGGGTCGAACTTTGTTGATGGACTGGAGGCAGATGTCTTGTGATGGCAATTTAAGGAAGATATCTGTTAGCAGATTCGTCTAAAAAGTCAACTCAATTGACTCACCGTGTCACAAGGGCCTTGGCTCCGTTTAGCTGGGCAGGGGATGGCTGCGCTGACCTCCGACGAAGACGACAATGAGGAGGAAGATGAGGTGTCTACTTCGGCAGCGGAAAAATGTTGAGGTAGATCCAGAGGTGAGACCACAGGTCAAGTGAAACGGCCAAGATGAGTGTCGGTGTGATTGGGCCGCATCGCGTTTGTTGTACAGAGTAAAAGAATCCGCATTGTATGATTTATTTGACGGTTAGGGTTGGTACATCAAGGTGGAGATGGCGATGGGGATGGGGTAGGGAGGGGATTGTGGAGGAAGTGACGCAGGACAAGAGCAAATGGGTGAGAGAGATAGGGAGAGAGAGCGCGTGGCGCGATCAAGTGGGTGGGGTAGAATGGGGAAGTAGAAACTGGTGGATGTGAAAAACACGAGCCCTTGGTGGATTGCGTGAACACGCTGAGCACTATAGTCTCAGCCAGATGTACAAATGATGTGAGAGTTGAGCCCGGAAAGCTGATCCCTCTAAACAAGTGAAAGTTCTCGTTTGTCTCGCTGCATCTGTCTGTTCGCCTCACCTCAACAGTTGCTCTCTCCTTTTGTGCGGCAGAAATAGACGGTCCGAAGGCTGCTGAGGGAGAGATATCTATCTATCTATCTATCTATCTATCTATCTATCTATCCTCAGGTGTATATACACATATATCTAAGAGAGAGAGAGTGTGTGTGTGTGTACTGTGGAGTATTTGAGACAGTGGTAACCTTTTCAGCAGTCTGTTAGTTTAAGAGGCCTTTAACCTGTTGGAAGTTGGAGAGAGATCAGCCGATTTGTCTGAAAAGTTCATGTGTCATTCGAGCTTGCCATGGCTTTCTTCAAGTAAGCCTCTGAGCGAACACGAATGCCTCTGTGCCCGTTGTAGGTGCAGATTAGTGTCAGTTTATCTATTAGGTTCCGCATTCAAGGGTCTACAGGAGCCAGAATAAATGCAGGCCTTGTTCTGCATTCCCTAGTCCGAATCACTGGTCTACTCTGTCTACAAAGTGATTGATGCAGGCCTGGAGGCCTCAAACATTAGACAATTGATGTTATTGCATGACGAGAACCCCATTTCTGGCTGTGCTGGCTTCCCCACTCTCCCTTCTCCTCGTGCAAAGTCAAAACAATTTCGACTCTACCAAACGCAACTGTAGCAGCACCAGCAGACGGGAAGGCACATGCACATACACACACGCATACACGCTCGAATGAGGACAAACACGTCGGTTGTAGCTCCCTCCTGTTCCCGTCCAATTTTAGCTTCTCAGAAAATGATGCACATTCACACGATTATATGGACAAGCGTACACTCTGTGGAGTAGACAGCAACGCAGGAGCTGAGAGGTGCATATGCACAAGCGGAACCAAAAGACTGAACCGATAGGCCTGTCCAAAGTCCGCGCTGGTGAGGGCCAGCCGAGGCGATGGCGCGTTCCTGTGCTTGGCCATCATGCGAATTCGTGAGCCCATCAGTTTGGTTGTGTTTTGAGCTCGTAAAATTCAGCAAATTGGAACATTTGGCTGGACTGTTGACAAAACCGCCAAGTCGGTCTGTGGATCCTACAGAGGATTCTCATACCCTTCTGCCGTACCCACCTTCAGGCGCATTATCGCCTCGCCTGCAGGCCCATTCTCAGACAGTTACGAGACATCTTGTAAGTGGGCCGTTGGCCCTTTCTTACACTCGTCTATCAATCCCTTCGTTTTTTCGTCCACCCATCCACCCACCCACCCATGTTCCACACTTTGTTCGCCTGTCCAGACGTCTGATGCTCAAATGGGACAGACCACAGATTGGTCATCGGCCTAAGTATGTGACGGGGATGGGAGGAGGAGCCAGGTGAAGGGGATACCAGACACGATATCGCAACATGAGTGCGAATCAGAGACCAATCGGGGCTCGAACTGGCCAGTGGAATAGCATGCCTGCGAGACTGGCGCCAGGCGCCTGAGTGCCACCGGCACTTTCCGTCCTGGCCACATCACCGACACCTCGGGACTGGTGAAAGTCCGAATGGGCTGACATTTTGGCCGGCTCACTCGGCCAAGGGGATGTGGGTGTTTCAGAAGCCGAGGAGGTTTATAGCAGTCCTCTCTACCTGCCCTCTGCCCCGAGAGCAGAGATACCGAATACGTCCTCTCGGCCGGCCAACTGGTCCCATGAAGAGGAGGTCCCATGAATGTGGCCGAGGAGAGGGGGAAGGGGTGTGAGCCAGAAATCCTACAAGTAGAGAATATGATGTGCCCGGTCCGGCCATTGGGCCTCTAGAACGAGGCGAGGCCAGGGAAACCCGATAGCCTGAAGGTGTCCCTCATTCTCATGTTCATGTCCTGATAAGACCGATTGCGTTTATATATTCGCATCGTTCGAAAATGAAGGTCTAAGTGGAGCGAGCTAGAATAAGCAATGTCATCCTTCTGTTTCTTTATCGTCAAAACTGGTTTATTTCGCTTCTCCGCATCCCGAATTTGTGCGTGCTCTTTTTTTCATAAGATATTTCGTATTCTCGGACCACTCTCCTTTCATACTGTTAAAAACTGTATTCAATACGAACTTGGGCGGCCTAGGTTGTTTGGGTTGCAGTTCAATGGTCATGAGTGCCAAAGGGTCTTAAAGGGCAAACTTAACACTCAAGGCAAGCCAGACCTAACCCAAGTCACATTTATAATGGAATTGAATCAAGCAAACATGTATTTGCTATCTCAACCTACGACGCTACTTATTTTCGGTATATGTTGTACTCTAGACTACCAGTAATTCTTGAATAAGAAGTTTGTCACTATAATTCATTTAAAGTGACTTCATTATTTATAAATAGAAGAGTAGGCCTCAGACTGTCATTGCCTACTACGAGATTGTCTCATCTAGGACTCCACTCCCAATGGAAATCATCACACACCCACAGCTGTCAAGGAGTCACAGGGCTCTTCTATTTTACACTTGGTGAAAGTGAGAGTGCCAATTAGGCAAAGTTGCATTCGCCATTACAATCAACCATCATACATATTCTCGTATTACTTAGGTTTCGATACCATCAATTCTTATTCAAGGTCTGCTGATAGTATCGAAGTAGTAGTCGATTGCAATGGCAGAACACACATTTATGAGTTGTGATCCCCCAATTTCGTTTAAGGTGAGGAAGGACTGGTAGTTGAATTTTCCTACAATGA